CGCTGTGCAGGGCCATCTCCTTGCACTGGCCCCTGCCTTCTCTCCACCTCTCTCCCACTCCTCCCCAGTAGAGACAGGACCCTTTCTCCAGGCTGACTGTTCTGTCCCCTACCTGTCTGCCCGCTCCTCTTGGGCTGCAGTTCCCCTGAGTGCCACTGTCCCCAGGAAGCCCTCTGTGACCCCAGAGTGGTCAGGTCACCTCCACTTTCCCTACATGAGCTGCTCCGTGAGGGCAGGGCCCTGTCTCTCAGTCACACCAGTACCCCGAGTGTGCAGCGTTGTGCCCGAGGAACTTTATCCACGGCAGTATGTTCTCTGACTTTGGGCAGATAAACATGCTTATGGTCTGGAAACATTTTGATCTAGAAAATCACCCAGTGATTATAACTGTAGAGATATGGAGCCATTTGCAGTCACTGCTGTAAAAGAAAAGTGTTTTTGACACTTGCTTAAGCCAGCAAGGAAGACTCCATTCAAGACTATTGCAACAGGGGAGGACTTGACTCCAGTGTGGCAGGGACGAGGGTGGATGGAAAGCCGAGGGCAGGGTGAGGGAGTGGGTGGAACGCCACTCAGGGGAACTGGATTAGACGTCGGGGTGGAGGAAGGGCCGCTTGGTGGGGTCTTAGGGGATACACTCAGCAGGTCTCTGCTCGCCAAGGACCGGGCCTTCTTGAGAAAAGGACTCAGGAACCTGGCTAAAGTTCGGTCAAGGAGGGGTCATTGCATTGCCAGCCAAAAGAGCCACGTGGCAATGATGCTCTTTAGTATCTACTGCCACATCCTGAAAAAGACAGGAGAGACCCTTGGGAATGAGAGACTACACACAGCAAAGCTCTGTGCAGCCAAGCATCGCCGGAGAACATCAGCGGAATCCACATCCAGGGCGAACTGGCATTGTTCCTGTGTTTCAAAATAGGAATGATAAAGTATAGACTCCACCCTTCCTCCCAGGAGAATCCTAAAGACTGGTTATGCTTCCAGAAAGACCTGTCAGGTGTTTCAGCTCCCGGGCAGTGGGTGCTGGCGTTGTCCTCTGAGACGTCACCTCACATGCTCCTGGTTACGGGGCTAACCCGACCTGCCTCCATCGGTGACTTCAGTCACGGACAGAACTGAGCTCCGTCCCATGGGGCACTCTCCAAGCTAATTTCGCATCCTTACCACTCTGGGTATCGAGTCAGCCAGGGAGATCGCACAGCCCTGTGCCCGGGGCACTGCTGGTGTTTGCCTGTTTTCCTGAAGTGATGATCAGCAGAGCCTGTTTTCTTTCTTGGATTGTCCCAGTTTGGTTGATACATTACGTGGCCCCTTGGCTCATTGTCCCTCTGCAGAGAGACTAACTCTGGGCCTAGCACTGCTGCCCTGATGTGAGCCGCGATAGATCCCCTGCAATGACTAGACATGAGCCATCCGTTTTCAGCGAGGCAGCCGGTGGTCAGGAAGATTCTTGAAGAAATCAGCAAACATGAAGAACCGTACTACAGGCTCTTTCGACTTTCTCAGTGGGAGTGAAGGAAGACAGGGGAGCTGCGGGGATGGGAGTGGCAGACAGGAGGGTGAGGCTGGGACATCCAGGGATCTGTGGTGAAGTGTCACCAAAACCGCTGGGTGTATGTGCTTGGAAATCATGGTGAGTGATACAGTGAGCACATTTTAATGAATGGTACCGTGTCCTTATTTAAATTTCAGAGTGTCCATGCAAAGTGCTGGCAAGACAAGAATTTGCTTCCTATTTCGCAAATCATGGGTGTGAAAGAAACCACCCCCAGTTCTCATTGCTGATCTGCTAAATCATTCCGTATGGGGGCTGGAGGTGGAGGGGAGGGCTGGCCCAGAAATCGTGTTTTTAACAGAGTCTGGAGTTCTGATGGGGAGTTTGGTTTGAGAACCACTGCCTTGGACATTTTGCAACAAAGATGTGTTCTTATTAACTTGCATATATTTGCAGGTTGGATCATGTATTTAATTATTTAACAACCCCTTGTTGACTGTCATCCTGGCCTGGGGCTCGGGAGGCAGCAGTGAGCGACACGATTCGTTTGCTGCCCAAGGAGTTTTCCCGACAGACAGATGGGTCTTCACCTGGTCATGCCCTCACAACAGCATCGCCACCCAGGGGACACGGAGGGCTACCAGCACTGAGTCGGGGGCCGAGTCGGGGGCCAACCCTGGACTCAGGGCTCAGGACAGGCCAAGGGTGAGGTGGGCGGCAGCATAACCGCCTGCAGCGGGCACCGTGTGTGCAATGGCCTCATGCAGCAGAGCTGCGGGGCTGCGGGGCCGCCAGGGCTGCGGGGCCAGGGTGGGCAGGCGGGGCAGGGGACTTGGGCCCTCGGAATGCCCACCAGCACTGCAGGGCTGCAAATGAGGATGACGGGGTCAAAGCCGGGCCCTCAACCCAGCGAGGCGATGGGCACCACCTGCAGCCTTCCACAGGCCGCTGGGGGTGCTGGGTCGCCCGCGTGTCTGTCAGGGAGGGGCTGTACTGGGGAAGCGCCTGGGCTTTGCAGGGATCCTGCTGCTGCATGAGGCCCCTTCTGCAACGCCATCCACTTAGAGTCTGCCAGGCTCACGTCTGTGTCTGTCTTCCTCCTAGATCCTGCCCGGCCTGTACATCGGCAACTTCAAAGGTGAGTTCTTGCTTTTTTGTTGTTGTGGTAAAATACACAGAACATAAGATGTGTCTTCTTGACCATTTTAAAGTGTGTAGGTCAGTGGCTTTAAGTAATTTGCATTGCTGTGCAGCCGCCACCAACATCCTTCTGCAGGACATTTCCCGTTCCCAAACTGAAGCTGTGTCCCTGTTAACACTAACTCCCCATTCCGCTCCTCCCAGCCCCGGGCAGCCACCATTCTGCTTTCTGCCTCTAAGAATCTGACGACTCTCAGAGCCTCCTCCTAGTGGCATCACACAGTGTTTGTGCTTTTGAGATGGGCTTATTTTACTGAGTACAGTGTCACAGTTCATCCATGTCGCAGCAAGTGTCAGAATGGCCTTCCTTCTTAAAGCCGAATAGTGTGTGCAGAGGCCTCATTTTGCTTCCATTTATTTGTTCGTGGACATTTGGGCTGTTTCCACCAAAAGTGAGTTCACTTTTCTAAAAGATCAGCTTTAGACTTCTCATGGGTGAGACTGACAGGCAAAGTGGAGGCTCAGGCTACGGTCTGTTCCGGGAGTGGCCACCACGTGCACCCAAGCCCCTTGCTGGGTGCACCCCAACCCCTGGCCCGTCCCCTGATGGAGTGGGGTGAGGCTGTGAGGCTCCAGCTCTGCCTCAGGTGCTCCCTTTAACTCTCCACCCCCGTTGGGACATGATCATCAAAAGATGGTGGACAGCAGGCGCATTCGGCAATCACGTGACTGACTTACCACCTTTGGCCACTTTCATTTTTTAGTTACTGTTGAGAAATTTTCAGAAGCCTGTTCTTTTTAAGTCACCCGGGAAACAAGAGTGACAATTTCATTTCTGGCAGATTCTCGTCTGCTGCTGCTGCTCTTCTCACACATTTCCTGCCCCTTGTTCGGTACTAATTGATTCGCTGTCGGCTACTGACTCAGCTCTAGAGCTCGGTGGTCCCTGGGCCTGTCGGCTTCCAGGGAGGGGCCAAGCCCGCCTGCCAGGTGACATTCAGAGTTTGTGTAAGTGAATCACTGAGATGAGGTGGGAGGATAGAGATGAGGGGCCCTTGGGGGGCTTGGGAAGCTTGCAGACAAGGCCCCACCGTGTTAGGTTGGACAGAGCCGGACCGTGTCGTCGGCAGCTCCTGCTCCTCCCTTCCCTCACGAGCCGGAACTTGGCCACTCCTGTCGGCTTTCTGGATGCTGCTGAAATTTCCGAGTTCAGATTCAAACTGATTGTGCAAATAATCTTTATTATTTCTCTGCGCTCTGTATGATGTTTATTTCCACACACCTCCCGCCCCATCTCCCTCCAGCTCACTCATTGGCCTCCAGGAGAATTAAGCACAGAGCTGACAGCTGCTGATTGTACAGCATGTTAAAAATAGTACTGGGCTTGCTAAATTAGTAAGCGTTGTGGTTCTGAAAAAGCAGCAAACCGTTGTGGGGGGCAGGCCGGGGGACATTAATGAAGCGAATGTCAGAGTTATTTAGTGAGGTATTAACTGTTTTCATGGGGAAAGGGAGTGTCTTTGAGAACAGAGTTTAGGATAAGTTCTTAGAAGTAGAATTCTGGATGAAAGGTTTGAAATTGAACATTTTAATAAATATGAACCAAATTCAATACTTCTGACAATAGTATGTGAGAGTTTCAGCCTTAATCATGAAAGGTTACCTTTTCTGGAAGGATGGCTTTAAGAAAATATTTAAAATTCTTTTCATACTACACGCTACACCTGTTTTCTAAATATTCCGTGACATAGGACTCCTTCCAGCTTCCTGGGTCTCGTGCTTTGTAGTTTAGTCTCTGAGAGTGCTGTGGACAGCCCACCTCCTCTCCTTGTTCTTCGTGTCGATGCTGTGTTACTACCTTGAGTTATTCTGATGTTGGCATGAGGTTGTGTTTTATTCACTCTTTAGCCAAACGTTTATTAAATGCTTTCCAGGTACAAGGCTTGTCTGAAAGAGAGGAAGGAGAGTGCAGTGAATTGGCAATAGGGCTGGAAGGAGAGGAAGTATTTTCCCCCGTTGTGCTGTGAATTCACTTGTTCATTGCACAAGCTTGTCGGCAGCACACAGTGTGCTGGGAGTTGGATGTGGACCAGCGTCCCTGTCCTCAGGCTGTCAGAGTCCAACAGCAGGTGCAGAACAGGCAGGGGCCAGTGTGTGTCCTCAGACGAGTTACACACCTGGGGGCGTGGACTGGGAAGATGGCGTCTGCCTCACAGGGCTGTCGCGGGGCTGACCCAGACAATGGGTGATGCCCTCGGTGGGCTCAGTGCCCAATACCTGGTGCCCTGAGAAATAAACACCCACACACTCACTGCTACTGCCATGGGGCCCGATAGATGCCAGGTCTGCAGTAGGCAGCTGGGTGGCATTAGCTGGCAAGGGTGGAAACCTGTGTGGAATGTGGCCTCTTTTTTCCTGGGCGGTGAATCCAGCTGTCATCTGTGCTCTCGCCTGGCATCTCATATAGTCATTTATCTTGCTCTTTTAAAATCACAAGTAATACGTTCCTCTTGTAACACAAGAACCAGGAAAGTGGAAAGGAACGTGGACAGTCACTCCCTTCTTCTGTCCCTTCTCCTTCCTCCCCTCCCTTCTCTTCCCCTTCCCATTTCCTCTCTTCCCTCCCCACTTCCCTCCTTTTTCTCTCCCTCCCTTCCTTCCTTCTCCTCTTCCCTCCTTCCTTTCAGTGGGATCCCTCACATGTCACTCTGCAACCCTTAAAAAAAAAAAAAAAAAAAAAGCTTTGTAATGAATCAACAAATGGTTTTGCAGCACCTGGTGACTATTCCTCCTGGAGAAGACCCACAAACAAACCCAGCTCTGAGCCCGGCCTTTGGGTCTTCGACGCTTTGGTGAGAGCGTCTCTGTTGGGGCTGCCCACACGCCAGGGGGGAAGCCAGAGAGAGCAGCCCCTCCCTGGGCCAGAGGGTGGGTCCGTGGCTTCCTTCCAACTGGGCACCAGCAACAGTGGATGTCAGCTGACAGAGGAAGCCCTCGTTTGAAGATGTCCACAGATTCTAGAAAAGAGGGAACGCTCTTCGGCACGGTGTGTTTGCCGGTGGTGCGCGTTGAGACCATGTTCGCAGTCTAGAGCTTGTGTTCTGTGTCTGCCAGGGAGACAGACAGCCCTGGTGGGTACCCAGTTGTTTGGACAAGGCCAGCCTGGTCAGAGGTAGTCTGCTGTCAGCTCGCTGAGACAAGATAACCATGCTCGATAGGTCAGCATATGTCCATCCAGACTTACTTTTCCACGTGAATTCCCACTGGTTACCTTCCTGTTGGCTTTATGAGTTACCAGCCTGTTGCATTTGTGATTGGCAGTTGGGGAGGAGCCACTGGCACCAGGCCGAAGTCTGTCCCCTCTGGGGCTCGCTGTTAGGGTGCACGTGGCCTTCTGGGGTTCTCGCTAAAGTGCACGTTCTGATCAAGTAGACCCGGGGTGGAGTCAGCTCCCGGCGATGCTGTGCTGCCGGTTGGAGTAGACCCGGGGTGGAGTCAGCTCCCGGCAATGCTGTGCTGCCGGTTGGAGTAGACCCGGGGTGGAGTCAGCTCCCGGCGATGCTGTGCTGCTGGTTGGAGTAGACCCGGGGTGGAGTCAGCTCCAGGTGATGCTGTGCTGAGGGTTGGAGTAGACCCGGGGTGGAGTCAGCTCCAGGCGATGCTGTGCTTGGAGTAGACCCGGGGTGGAGTCAGCTCCAGGTGATGCTGTGCTGAGGGTTGGAGTAGACCCGGGGTGGAGTCAGCTCCAGGTGATGCTGTGCTGAGGGTTGGAGTAGACCCGGGGTGGAGTCAGCTCCAGGCGATGCTGTGCTGAGGGTTGGAGTAGACCCGGGGTGGAGTCAGCTCCCGGCAATGCTGTGCTGAGGGTTGGAGTAGACCCGGGGTGGAGTCAGCTCCAGGTGATGCTATGCTGAGGGTTGGAGGACCCCGTGCTGAGCACCAGCGTGCTGAGTTCTGCCCCTGTAGGTCTGCTCAGGAGGAGCCCGCTGGAAATATACAAGCTTGTGTCTGTGCCCCGAGGAAGCTCCACCCTGGGCCTTACAGCTGGATTCCCAGCTCGTGACCTCGCTGCTCCTTGGCCTTCCAGGACAATCAATAATGTGAAGTCCGTAAGAAATAAAGTTCCAGGGTCATCACCCAGCAGGTTTCATTAAGCATTTTATGCACTCGAGTCAGTGGGCAGAGCCTGTGCCTCACAGGAAGGGATGCATCAGTGGACGTGGTATGAGCCTGCAGTGAGGAGGAGAAGCGCTGGCCCTGGAGTGCTTCCCTTTGCTTCGGAGTCCAGCAGTCCGCTGGCTGTTGTGTGATATCGAGTGGTCTTCTGTATTCAGAAATGTATACTTTTTTTTCCCCAGGCCACTTTAAAAAGATTCACTGTGTATTTGTATTATAAAGGCATTTTACTGGGTGAAGAGAATGCTCTAAAGTTATGATCTGTGACGGTTACGCAGCCTTGTGAACATATGAAACCACTGAATCATGGACTTGATCAGGGTCCATATTATGGTATGTGAATTATATCTCATTAAAGCTGCTGTGAAAGGAGAAAAGTAGATTGAAACAAATACGGATTGTTAAAATTCGAACACCAGGCGGAATGGGTGTCGGGAGGAGCCAGGCGGGAGGGTAAGATGAGCTGGCCCCGTCAGGCTGCCCCACGTCTGCTGGGTGCCTGTCCCACCTCCTGCGGGTTCAGGGAGCACCGGAGCCCTGGCTTCGTCTGTTTCACTGCTTGTCTAAAACGTCCATGCTGGTGGCGATTGGAAAATCCCATTTTGGTGTGAATGTGGGACTGGCTGCCTGTGGCTTCCAAAACGATTCTAGCTTCTGCCTAATTAATTCCAAGCTAGCCCTGCTGGTACCCCAACCTGTGAGGGGTGGGGGTTGGCAGTGAGTCCGCATGTGCTGTGTAGATGGCTCCCATCCATAGCAGGGGGGCTTCGAGGTAACTGTTTAGCTCAAGCGGGAGTGAGAGGCGACTGTTCCTGCATGATGGATGCCTTTCTGAGCCTGATAAAGGGCTCGTGTTCCTCATATAAAAAGGTTTTTTCTTTCTCACTTTGGGTCAAAAGATGAGCCGGTCAGAGATAAACTGAGGCAAAATACTGGAAAGCAATAGCCCTAAATTGGAAGCTCGAGAATTTGAATCTGGGAAAGCAGTAGCCTGGAATGTGAAGCCTGAGAGGTTGGAGCAATGAAAAGAGTCTTAAAATGAAACTGGTATTTTGACATTAGTTAAATTTTTTTCCTGACATTGCTGAATGTTTAGAACAACGTTTCTTGATTTCTGCGTCCTCATCAAGGCTTGTTGGAAATGGAGATGCCTCAGCCCCGGGCTGGATCAGGAACTAAGCTCTGGCCGCCGCCTTTCTAACTGAGCCTCTTGGTAGTTCACGGGGTGTTAAACTTCGGAGCCACTCATGTAGAACACACACACACATGCGCGCGCGCGCGCGCGTAAACAATAAGGAAAAACCCACTTGTAATTCCATCTCTGAGCTGGGGCTGCCTTTGTACCAGTCCCGCCATGCTCCCTGCTGTGTTTGTCTCTGTGCTTTTATACGTTGGGTTTGTGTCACATTCATGGTTCACATTATACCCTGAGCATTTTCCCATGCCATGAAATAGTCTCCAGAACCATGACAATTAAACATTTGCCTTTCTTTGTTGTTTTGTTTTGTTTTGTTTGAGGTGGACTCTCACTCTGTTGCCCAGGCTGGAGTTCGGTGGGGCGATCTCGGCTCACGGCAACCTCCGCCTCCTGAGTTCAAGCGATCCTCCTACTTCAGCCTCCCTAGTAGTGGGGATTACAGGTGCACACCACCACGCCCAGATAATTTTTGTAATTTTAGTAGAGACGTGGTTTCGTCATGTTGGCCAGGCTGGTCTCACACTCCTGAACTCAGGTGATCCGCCTGTCTCGGCCTCCCAAAGTTCCAGGATTACAGGCGCGAGTCACCACGCCCGGCCTAAACATTTGCCTTTCAATCCATTTCTCCTGTATCATTTTGAAAAGCTTGGCCAGGCTGGGATGGGGGCGCAGGGCAGTGGACCTCCTCATTTCCTGCTGGCCCCCATTTTGTAGATTAGTAGAAGGTTCCAATTCAGGGGATCACACCATTCAGTCTTCTTTTTGCAGGTGGGAACATTGGAAGGGAATATAATTTTGTTTTCTTCTTAGTTTCATATGGAGATAATTTAATAGCCAACTGAGAGCTGATAGACAATTCTGTTTGGAATTTCCAGAGCGAGTTTCATTTTCTAATTGTGCTTTAAAGTGAATGTAGATGATGTAAACCACAGGCCTGTCTGATTCCAGAACTGTCCATGCTTTTGACATCTGGGGAAAGAAGTAACGCACAGGCTCCTTTGTCTTCCAGAGTTAGTGGTTCTTTTGTATTTAGCTTTTTAAGAATTCTAATCATTAAGAGGTCATTGAATTAAAAAAAAAATTTTAAATATTCCTAATATTATGTGTCTCATGCAAAAAGACTGACCTAAGGTCGTCTTTTACAAATGCTGACTACAAAATGGTCTCGTAAATTTAGCTTCTTGATGATGTAATCCATCATGATTACAACGTTGATTAATCTAAGTGCACTTCAAGTTCTAGATTAACACTTTTTTTGCCTAAAAGGAAGAAGCTGAGGCAAAATTAATACAGAGAGTTTATTTGGGCCAAGCTTGAGGACTGTAGCCTGAAACACACTTTCAAGTTGCCTTGGGGAGTGCTCCGGAGAATAAAATAGAGGCTCAAGTTTTTAAAGAAAAAAAGGCGAATCAGGAGTGGTGATTACAAAAACTTGTTCAGCAGGAATTCTCATTGGTTTATAGAAGTAACGTTGGTTAATGACCGGCTATACGATATTGAACTGTGATGTGCGGCATCTTATGGCTCCTTGGCATCAGTCTAGGGACCACATGGCAGATGGTTCGAGGTAGCCATTTAGCCAAGCGAGAGTGAGCGGAGGCTGCTGTTATATTCCAGAGGCCTTTCTGTGCCTGATCATTTCAAGGGACTCTTGTTCCTCATAGAAAGTTTTTTTCTTTGTCACTTTGGGTCAAAAGATGAGACAATGAGAAATAAAGCTAGACAAAAGGTATGAAAGCAGTAGCCCGAAATTCCCTACGTGTATGGTCAGTTATGAAGTTTCAGGAAAGAAATATGCAAGTCATTTTGTGGGTTTTTTTTTTTTTTTTCTGGCTAGAGTTTAGGAGTAATTAACTTGCAAAGATATCAAAATGTCCATCCCCTTTCTTCTCTGACAGATGCCAGGGATGCGGAACAGTTGAGCAAGAACAAGGTGACACATATTCTGTCTGTCCACGATAGTGCCAGGCCTATGTTGGAGGTAAGAGAGCACCGGGGGGCGTGTGTGGGTGTCTTCGTTTGTATTCTGTGGGAGTGCGTGTGACGTTCACGAAGGCAGCCACGTTCTCTCCGTGCGAACCTGCTCCTGCGGTCTCTGAGGGTGCTCCCGTTGTGCTCAGGCCGTATTTACGTTACCGCGCTGTCTGTGGCGTGGTGCAAGGGTGTGTGCTTTTTCTGATCACCCTCCTGCTGCGTTGCCACTTTGGCTTTCTTGGCTAAATGCCTCGCAATAAGCTGATGCTGCATTTCCCACTGGACCTTACGGACATTTAAAGCCCATTTTCATTCCTTTCAGAGTTATCTCTGGTTTTAAAATCCAAAACACTTCAGCCTGCTCATTTCCTGATTTTGTCCCATTTAAGCTGAAATAGCCACCATTGGCATTCAGGGGTAAAAGAAAACAGAAGGTAAATTGTGCCTGGAGGTTTCCCAGGGCCCTGTAACCTGGAGACTCGCGTAGAAGCTGTTGTGTTTTAGGTTTTCAGGGTAAACAGGGTGTGTCTGCTTGTGCACTAATTCCAAAAACATCTTTAAATTTACCCTAATGGACGGTTTGAGCTGTTGGCTAGAGGTAAAATCTATTTATGTTTATTGGCCTTGACAGAGCCCAAGTTACCTCCTTTTAGAAAATAATGCTGTGTGGTTGCGATGTGTCTGTGTTTTTCTATTTTAGGGTGGGGTGTTGGAAAGGGAGGGGTGACTTGTTCTGAAAGAAAGAATCCTGGTTTAGGCTGTTTTCATTTAGATTTCTATTAGGCAAGAGTAGGTAATGTTTTTTAATTGTATCTATTCTCTTTAGCCATAAGGGCTGCCAGATTTTAGTTCGTATAAAGCAAGCTAAAACTAGTGCGAATGTAGAATAATAAATGATTCTACTAAACATTGTAGTACCAGAGAACCATAGATGGTGAACAAACCTCAATTAATTTCTCCAGATCGCCGAGCTCCTACTTCCTTGTATTGTTTAGCTCATAAATTTTTTTGGTAAGGTGCCGTAATTTGTGTTCCAGCGTGATTTTATTGGAAATAACAACAACAACAAAACAGTTTTTGGAGCCTAACAGTTCCTTTGAAAATAGCCATTTTTTAATCTGTCAACAGTAGTTTGTATTTAAAATACAGCCAAGCTATGGCCAAGATGGTAAGTTAAACTGCAAACTGGTCATGATTGACTTCCTCTTAAATCACAAGATGAGGCTTGAGGTTTCCTTTATTTTAATAAATTGCAGAGATGCCCTCTCCACCCTCAGCCCCCAGGCCTGCCTCCCTGCCTTATACTCCATTTAATGGAACACACTGTCGTGTGTGCACATGACCCTTAAATCTGCTCCCATTGTAACCTCTGTGTAGACAGGAGATCTGCCAGTGTTAGAAATCAAAGCTCCAGCCCTTGTCACCCGGGAAGCCACAGGCTGGCGAGTGAAGCAGCGGGGGTTGTAACTCACGTATAAAAAGCCCACCGATTGTGTAAAACCTCAGAGGTGCGGGCAAACTGTGTTCCCAGCACAACACACTGCAGATGCTTTTTTATTCCCTTTGTAGCTCAGTCTATAAGGACAAATTCTGCCATTAAAAAGAGAGAGAAGTGCTGCCCTTTTTCTTCACTGGGATGGCTTTTTCTTGGAGACATCCTGTTGTGGTCTCTGGGTGCTGTTATTATCTTAGCTTCATAATAAGTACTTCCATGTGATTTTATATTTATTAAGTGTTATACCTCTGTTTTGTAGCATAATGTAGTTTAGTATTGCCCCCTTAGCATTTTATTAATCTTTAAGTTTGCAAGTAATGCGTGGTCTATTCTTATTTTAAAAATTAAAACAACAGCCTCTGATTGCACAGTGGGGAAAAGTGAGGCACCAAAGTTACTTGAATTGGTGGTGCCCACACTAAGTTATACTCTTAGAAGTTTCAAATCTTTGTTTAGCTGTCTGCCTGGGGCATAAAGGCAGCCTTCTGTCTTGAGTTTCAAATCCAGATCCGGAAGCTGTGTCCTCACGCAGCCCGAGATGAGTCCGGGAAATGATGTGTTTGCAGTCGGTGGGGAATTAATGGATGGGTTTGATGCCTCGGCAGCTCCATGTTCTGCCGGCCCTGATCCTGGGAGAGAAACGGGGCAGGGATGAAGGTGAGCGGGGCGACTGTGCGGGGCCAAGCAAATGCAGTGCGCTGACCCCCCGGTTGGTGAGAGCCCCTAAGTGAGGGTGAAGGGATAAATGGTAGGCGAGGAGAGAGCTGGGCCTCCTCTATTTTCTGAGATCTTCAAAACCACACGTGTTTATTGATGGCCGCTAGCTTAAATAACATGGAAGGTCTGTTCTCAGGCCTTCAGAGTGGCTGTGCCTTGCCTGTGGTCAGGGAGCGGCTGGATGGTCTCCAATGTGTCTTGGGTGGATGAGACAAGGTGTGTTTATCCCCTGGACCATGAGGGATGAGGTGGTCCGCCAAGGGAAAAAGGCCTGTGTCTCCAATTTCTACCTCTTCAGAAGAGTGGCTGAGGAGTAGACCTTCCAGAATGAAGATCTTAGAAACGTAATAGAAACCTGGGGACTTGCAGGCTTTCTGGTCCGCCCTAAAGTCACATCTGAGATTCTGAGCAGCTCTGGCCCATTTCTGTGCCCCACCGCTGTGTGTCTGAGACAGAAGTCCCAGCTAAGCAGGGTCTAGAGATCAGCAAGCCCAGCTCCGTCGCTGGGTGGACAGAAACCTGGAAACCTGGACGACGGGAGACATGAAAGGGCTTGCCTGGGGTTCATTCCCACGGCTGTCTGGATAGCCTGATGGAAGCCGGGAGTCCCCGTTCAGACCGGTGGTTTTCCCGGCATGCCTCGCTGCCTCCGTTCTCTCCTGGCACGACCGATGTTTCTGATATCCTTAGTGGTATTGGTAGATCTTACCAGATCACCTTTGAAAAAGGTTGTGTGATTTGTGCTTGCTCTAGCAACGTATGAAAGTGCCTTTCCCCCCCACGCCATCACCAGCACAGAGCTTTGATCTTCGCTCTTCTTTACTTCTAATTAGCAAGATTTTTGCTGTTATTTGCTGCAAATACCCTCTTCACACATCCCGCCCCTTTCCAGATAGTTCTTCCCTTTGAAGACAAAGGGTTACTAATTTATTCATTTCTTGAGCCCCTACTACGTTCCAGGCCTTGGGACAGGTACTGTGGGTAACAGCAATGAGTTCATCCCAAGATCTTCCCTGGCGGAGCCTTTGGTGTATGCACAAGATATGCATTGTAGATGCTTTATAAACATTAATGACAGTGAGAGAAGAGCCGTGGCTTGGAGCAGGTGCAAATCCCGTAGGAACAGAGCCGGTGGAAGCCCAGAGAATGAGGTCCCTCTTCTGCCGCCAAATCTGGAGACATCTGACTGGGCCTTTGGCGATGCCTAGGAATTCAGAAAATGTGACCCCTGGCCTTCCAGCTGGTAGAGAATGCCAGGACATGACCCTCTGAGAACCCTGAGTCCAGCAAGGTGGATGGTGTTGTTTTGGTGCCTCTGTGGCTCACCCAGGCTGGGCGACTTCTCATCATCTGTCAGCACGTGGCAGGGCCAGGGCTGGAACCGAGGCCTTCTCACTACAGAGGCAAGGGTTTTGCAGCCAGCCATAGCCCTTCAGGAGTACACTTTTGGTATCGAAACTTTGGAGCACATGATGCTGGTAAAATGGCGGAAAATCATTGCCACATATATTAATTTCAATAGAAAGTAAGCCCAGACCTGCGTAAGAGGAAAAAACAAAATCCTCCTTCACCTGTTTCCATGCTTCGGACTTTGTCAGGGGGTTGCTCGTGTCTGCTCAGAAGTGTCTCCTTATTTGTGGGGCTGGGCGGGGGCAGCGTCTCCAGCATCTGCTGATGGTTCTGGGTTTGAGGGTTGGTGAAAACTCGGTTGCAAAGACAGTGATTTTTCAAATCAGAAACCCGATATTGTTTGTAGTTGCTGAGAAAATAATATTGGGCAATGAAAGGTTTCTCCCTTCCCCTGAAAAAAAGAAACAGAACTCTTTCTAATGTAAAAATTTCGGTGTTTCATTTTTCATTTTGTGTATTTAACCAGAGCACCTGCAGGAAACAAAACTATTTCTCACTATTAACAAAAAAAAATGTTTTAAGAAATATTATCACGCCTTCACTAAGCTTCTAACACGAAGAACCTGACCTTTTTAAAAATAACACGTATTGTAAGATTACAGTGCAGGATCAGGTAGAGAAAAAGTGATTTATACTCATCTATGAAGACCGGGTATTGTTTGTATACCAGGTAGATTTTATGAGCTGGAGTTCAGCTTGGGTATTTTCTGTCTTCAGTGTGAACCATTTATGGTATTTTTAAAAGAATGGGATGTTTTCATATACAGACATTTATTCTTGGTGATTCTGTTTATATTTCTTTTAACACTGAAGACATTTTTGGAAGCGTTGGTGCCAGGACTTCAATTGTGTTAGTCTGTGGTTGGCTTCTGCCTCTGGTTGTTATCTGTATGCCTGTACTTCTGTCTTTATTTACCTGCTTACTGATGAGCAAGCTCCCCAAGGTGAGATGCCCAGTCTGCGTGGATGGCCCCGTCGTCTTTCCCTGGGTCACTGCCCAGCTGCCACGTGGCCCTGAGGTTGAGGCTCCTGGAGGGGCCCTGGTTTCCTGCCACGTGTTCCTCTTGCTGATCCACCCCGTTTCTCTTGAACAGAAGCTTTGTTGGCTCCCCAAATGTAAAGCAAGCCAGAAGCAAGATGATAAAGGGTGTTTAAAGCTGAAGAAGGCATGTGTGTATTCTCTTTCCTCTCTTCCCACCCTCTCCTGCCCACATGAATTCTCCCCTCCCTCTGAGCTCAGCCCCAGCTCTCCTTCCTCTGAAAGGGACACCGTCAGGGCCCTCCCTCCGAGCTCAGCCCCAGCTCTCCTTCCTCCGAAAGGGACACTGTCAGGGTCCTCTGAGCTCAGGACTTCTGCCCCCTTTCTGTAATATCTTCAGTTTGTA